TATGTATTTTAAACAGCCTAATTTTAGAGAGAAGTGAAGAACAAGGCGTGCAACTTGGCCAGACAGTTCACATTCCTTTAACGTCAACATGAACTGGAAATGGACGTGATGTGTCAGAAAGAATTTGTAATAGTTTTACGCAGCTCTTAGGATGTCCTGATTTTTTTTTTTTTGTTTCTAATTACCTATGCAAACTAAATTTCCTAATAACACAGAACCCTTATTTCGCAGTAACATCTGATAGCAGAGTTAGTGAAAATATGCATCTTAGTTGAATTTTGTTTATTTCTGCTTAAAAAAACAATAAACAGAGCAATCAATTAATCAATATAAAGTTGTTTCCTCATCTTCTATTTGATCAAAATGCACTTAAACCTGTATAAGTCAGTCATTCAGCTGAATGCTTCCTTGGCAACAGAAGAAAAAAGGAGGCCGATTCTTCTCTTAAAGGAAGGATAGAGGCCACCTTTGTAATCAGCATGATATGAGCTTCTGTAAACCAACAATCCCAGTGAAAGGGTCATTTACTGTAACTACTCCTTGTTAAAGCTTTTATCTTTTAACTAGACTGACATTCTTTCTGTTGCAATGTGTTTAAAAACTAAAGTTCTTGTATCAGCTTAAAGTAGTTTTTTTCTATTACGGTAGATACATATTACTACAAGGGGAAACTTAGGATAAAACATAACAAAGCTGTTATATAATGCAAAAATCCAGGTAAGTTATTAAATTGTCAAATATATTAAAAAACACTATCAAATTTTTTCTTTAATCCCAATGATTTTTTGGGGCGCATAACTACCAACCAGATCGGTTAAATCTGGACTTGACAGATCAGTTTTTAGGATGTAGGTTCTGTGCCTATTTAACTTTGTGCAGTAAACCGTTTGGGTCATTACAATGAGTGCAAGCAATGTATATTAGATTAATAAACAAGTACGCATGTAGATAAATCATTGGTACTCCTCTGTTAATGAAAAACAAAACCTAAAATGGTCACAGAAATAACTTAAATCTGACAAAAGTAACAACAAATGAAAATCCAATAAAATGAATAAACAATAAGTACAATATTGCTTTTCAACCATGCATCAAAATAAAGATTTTAAACTTAAATAAAGGTTTATCTGCTATTAAAATCACACATGTATAAAATATATAGAGCTTAGGTTAGGATACCAATAACTTTTGTCCAGGCCTGTTTCATTAGTTTATATCTTTTTTCAATCATTATTTTAAAGCATAGTTAGAAAGTAATGTCTAAACTTCCATTTGTTAATTTTCATAGAACTTTTGTTTTGTTTTTTTATTACCTTTGGCAGATTAAAATTTTTTGTGACCATTTCAGGTTTTTCTAACATTAATTGAGGGATAGCAGCATTTTTTAATGTGTGCATATTCAATTTAAACTTAGTGTAGCCTAGGGGAGCCATGAATGTAGGTAAAGAGCACGCAAAGTCCAAATACAAAAGACCCTGACAAGGATTTTAATCCTTTAAGTTCCTATAACTGAAGCACCATGCCGCACTTGAGGATTTTTTCCCTGACATCATTTGTTTAATTTCAAAAGGCTACAGAAAAAACATTAAAAATGTCTAATAAGATCTTTATTACCAAAGGTGAAAATGAATAAGTAGAATTTAAACTATTTAGTTAAAGTTAGGATGGTGAACATTGCCAGCCCAAGCGACTACTTATGTTGAGCCTTAAATCGGGTTACAGCAATTAAAATGTACTCTAATTCTTAGGCGAGTTAGTGATTTCCCCAAAGCAGTCCAAAAGCAGAACATAAAACAACATGCAGCTTTAATCTTACATACCTGTAGGAATTTATCACTGCACATTGCCCTCCAAAAATTGCCTGTTAATATTATTAATGTTAGATGCAAGAGTTTGCTCTCCAACTCTAGGGTCGGTTGTTCAAGCACCAGTTTTGGGGGTGTGAGTGTGTTTAATTTTTTACTATTAAACTAATTAACCATTGTGGTTGAAGTGACCAAATTGTATTGGCTTGATCTTTTACCAATATAAAATTTACAGTAGCAGCCATTCAAAATTTCCCACTTTCCTTGATGGGCCATTGGCTGGTTCCCTACAATTCCTTTTTAAACATCAATCTTTGTACTAAAATATTTTTCTGTCATGATTTGTGGACATTAAGATCTAAAGAGAAGCGTCACCTCCTGGTCAGACCAAATGATTTGTTGGACACATAACTACCAACCAGATTGGTTAAATCTAACAATTTTTTGGTTGGAATTGACCAATATGTTTTTAGGGTATAGTTTTCGGTCCCTTTTTTAACTCTGTGCAGTAAAATGTACTCTATTTAATCCTTAGCCAACTTGGTGATTTCCACAAAGCAGTCCAATAACAAAAAATAAAACAACACGCAGCATTAATCTTACATACCTGTAAGACTTTATCACTGCACATTGCCCTCCATAAATTGCCTGTTAATATTACAAGTAGTAATCAGAGAAAAACATAGTAAAAGGTTCTCTAAAAGGAACAAAACCTGTTCAACTTTTTTTTAAAACACCATAAATGTAGCATTTGGTTTAGGAAATAAAAACAAATTTCATTATTATTATTATTGGTTGCTATTTGTTTAAGTTTATATATAATAGAAATAAATGAATAAACATCAGTTCAATCAGTCATTCATTCTCCCTGCCAAGTAGGCTTGGCACAAAGTATGGGTGTTACATGGCTGCTTTTATGCTTATTCAATTACAAGGAGCATTTAATGCGTCAACAGGTTACCTTTTTTAAAAGGTGCCTTGGGAAAATAGTACGAGACAAAAGCCTGCATGCAAAAACATAAAGAATCCAATGTAAATATGCAGTAACTTAATAACATCAGTGTACATTACTCACCTCAGCTTTCTATGATGAAAAATATCCACGCAAGTAAAATTGTAAGATGATCTGTCATTTTACAGAGAACCAGTTAAAGGCATGTACGAGTTAGAAAACTGGAAATACTGCTGTAATGAAGTAGGAATTCAACAGTGGGTGAATCATATAAGAAATTGAAGCTAATTAAGAACTTAACACACCTGTTTTCTAGATAAATCTGACAAGCAGCTCAGGAATCAAGTAAAACATAACAGATATCAGGTATTGCCTGATAGTTAGCCAGTGACTGGTATTTCTCTATAATTCTATTTGGCAACTTAATTTGTACTTACTTCATTGCCAATAGATCAAAATCCCAACCAGAGCTGAGATCTAGAAGTGAGATGGGAATAACTGTGGGGTCTTTATTAAAATACTCAAACAAGTCAAATCCAGACTGAATTATCCAAACTGATTACAGATTCTCCATCTTAAAGCCTATAGAGAATGAATTTTAAAAAGGCTCTTATGTTCTCACAAAGCATATCTCAATCAAGAACTGGCATTAACAAACATCTACAGAAATTTTTTTGTTAAAGCATTAGGTAAAGTCCCAAATGTAGGTAATAAATACTTATTTATCAGGGTACTTTTAATTAAGTAAAGTTTTGACATACTCTTAGAAGTGTTTTACTACACTTTCCTGCGTACTGTTACTGGAGAAATATCCTGAAGTATCACTATAGTAACTTGAGTAAAATCTTTGACTGCTCTATTGGGGGGGAGGGTGAATGGTGGCCTAGTTGTTAGGGGATAGAGCTAGGATTCCTGGGGTTGTGAGTTCAAAACCCACTCCCACATACTGCCACTCTGTCTCTCTCTGGGCAAGACCCTTAACCCCTGATTGCTTCCCGGGCGCCCCATGATGGCACCCCACTGCTCCCCAGGAGGATTTCTGCAATGTGAGATCAATAAAGTTCAATTATTAATTATAATTCATCACAAGTAATTTCACTGAATGAAAAAAAAGCTTGATTTGAAGAACCAACAGTAAAAAATATATTAAAATCAGCCTTTTTTTTAAAGTAAAATCTATTTACTGAGCGTTTTGTGACAACTGAAGTTCAAATGAATGCACACAACTTAAAAGCTACTAATTTATTTTTTTCTCACATATGATGCTTATAGATATTGGGTTCATAAGCCTTAAGCAGAAAAAAATAGAAAAGTAAATTATCATTTTACAGTTATTTGTATGAGTCTTCTTTTAATTTCTAAACAACAACATTGGTTGATAAAATATTTTATAAATATCCAACAAAATGTAGGAATTACTGGGTACTTGATTATTGTTTTTTTATATTGCTACACTTCCCTAAGTACTTGATGGAAACTTTTTGACCTGATTGGAAAAAAATTAATTAGCCTTATTTTTAGGTTTACTTGAATAGGCCTGCCATTTTTCGGTACTCTACCCTTTTTTGATAAACGATAACGCAGCAGGAACAAGGAAACGAGTATGATAGAATAAGCCAAAAATCTAGATTGGGAATTACTCCTTCCATCGCCAAGTTCTACTGTAAAAACGAAACCCGCATCAAATGAAATTCCTCGTTTTGATCAATGGCCTTGCGTTTATTTTGAGACAACAAAGAATCCAAATATGAAAAAGTCCTTCATGCCATACAGGTGAGTTCTGGATCACCTGAGAGCAGAGTGGCCATGGGGAGGGAGGAGGGAGAGGGAGGAGGAGGAGGCGGGCCAGCTGCTCTGTGAGAGAAACAGCATTTAAATGGAAAAGGGGAGAGACTGAGCGCTTCATCCGAGACTTCACCGCAAGGAGACCATAAGCATCACTTCTTCCTGGAAACCAAAAATCCATTCTCCTTTAGAAACGAGTCAAGCGGAGAGCAGAACATCTTGAATCATGTGCGGTAAGATTGCCTCTAAATGGCACCGATTTGTTCTTCTGGTTTTCACTTTCAAGAAGCCCTTTGCGCGCAGGAGCCGTTTATGAAGATACCAACAAATGGTCAAAAATAACTAAGAAGTTGTTGCTTCTTCGTGGATCCGATTATAGGAAAAGCAAATTATTTTAAAATGGTTTAGGTAAATATCTATATATCCGATCTTTGCGCGTCGAGCTTTACGCGTTTTTTTACGCACAGCTGCTACGTGTCAGTGTCCCTTTGACAGGGAAAGTAAGGACAAGGAAGCTGCAGCTGATTGATTCTGTTTGGAGATGACTTAAAGAACCAACATTAACTTTTTTTCTACTTATTGGCAAGAGTCCACGTGTCGTAAAAAAATGGGCATGTCTGCTTTTACAACAAAACCCAGATATACAACCCAAAGTAAATCTTTAACTATTCGCCAGCCTCACCTTATTTATGAAAAAAAGGAAAGAGCGGGTATATATGAGAGGTTTTACCGCACCCTGCTTTACTGGCTGCTCCAGCACTGCGCGCAACACGCATCCTGTCAAAGCTGTGCGCCAGCCTGGCTGAAAGCAATCCTGCTCACACGTACACAAACCCCATTCACTTATATTTTTAAGGAAAATACTCTCTGATTGTAGTGAAAACGAGGCTTTTCATTCATTAAGAAAAATAAATGTGGAGATTGAAAGGTGGCCACAGTTTTAGATGAAAGAGGGCACAAATCTGCAGGAAAAAAATATACTGGATTATTTACATTCTTTTAAAGTGTTTAAAAATAACAATAATTAATATAATTTATAAGATGAAGATGATTGGGGGGGGAGAAAAGAACTGTAGGCCTACTTTGTAAGTAAGATTTGAGTTATAATCCTGGTTCTCTCTCTGATTAAAAGGGATCTTTGCTTACCTGAACTACCAAGTGCCACGCACCCGAAAAGAGATATTTGAGACGCTGGTGAAGGGTCTGCAGAGGCTGGAGTACAGAGGATACGATTCAGCAGGTGAGACGCTCAGACCTTATGCACACACAGACACATTCACATAGAAAACCATGTATGCAAAACTTTGGAGAAATGACTTATGAAAATATTTAGTCAAATTCTGGAGTGCATGAAGTATTCTGTAAAGTTATCAGTAATGGTCCAGTTTTAGGAAGATGTCCACCTATAGTATCATAGTAAAAAGAAAGGATACATCTTCACAGTGGTGAAAAGCTGACAGTCTTGTTTTACCTGATATTAGATGTTTAAACTAACAATGATCAACAATTTTGGCAGACATTAAATGTCCTTACTGTGTGAAGTTAGTATTTTTTAGGCACAAACTGAGAGTAAAATTCACTTTTTTGAGTTAAAACCAAAGGTGCAGCAAACTACTTCTGCAAAATATAAAGATGGTAATCAGTGCCCTATAAAGCATATAGAATAATTGTAAATTAACCTGATTGAAATAACTCAGCAAAACGTATTTAATAGTCATGTGTACAGTAATAGTTATTATAACTTACCACTCATAGCTTTCACTGTTTTGTCTCTCTATATCTTTGTCTATCTGCTGTCACTTGCTCCTCCAGATAAAAATAATCTAATGACGTGTGTTAAAACACACATGGTGACTGATGGCTCCCTTTTGGATTTCATTTTTTTCTTTACAAGTCTGTTTAAATAATTATTTAAAAATTAATCTGATAGCTTCAGTCATACTGAGATAGGATCACAGTTTCTTCTAAATGTTATTTTGAACAAAACTGTAACAATAGTTTAATTTGTTATAGCTACATTAATCAGTTATACTTAAGTTCTAATTTTGATTTGATTCAAGTTTGTAATTTCCCTTTAAAATAAGTCAAATTCTGATTAACTATTAATGTACATTAAGCTAATGTTCTAAAGAATTGTTTTTATTTTATCTTTTAATATATGTTTTTAGCAACTAATCATTAAAGTTCTTGTTGTTTTTATGTTCAGTTATTTTTATTCATATTATAATCCATAAAAGTAACATTTTCAAACCAAAAATACATAAATTAGTTATTTGAACTAATTGAAATTGGAATAGAACTAAAAGACGTGGAAACTTCATTCAGTGCAGAGCCAGAAGTAGCTCTTTGGTTCTGTGGGTTTCTTAATGTATTTAAAATAATAAACCATTTCCATGTTTTTTGTTGCATGCTTTTCTGTGCTCCCCATGGGCCCCCTAGTTTTTTTTTGCTCTAGAACCGTCACTGCTCATACACGTCACAGGGCTTCCTCCCGCTTTGCATGGAAATTTGACAGAGAATACAACCAAAGTAATGAGGTGAACAAAAAGAGGCGGGATTCCAAATGCAAAGGGTTTTGTTCTATTAAGAAAGTAAAGTAAATAGTAAATACTTACGTAGCTACTTACCTGGAGTCAGTACTTTCATGGTCACAGCTCTTCTTCTATTCAGGGAGCTCTGACTTTGATTATGGATATCAGCTTAGAAGACTACATTGCACAGGAGGCAGCTTTAGCTCAAGTCACTTTGCTCCGTAAAACCAGTAAGCTTGCAGATATGTAGCATTTCTATCGCTGGTCATTTGCAGGTTAAGTCACTTTACAATTATGATAACTTTAAAGCAGTTGCTTTTTTTTTTTTATGGAACTATTTCTTGAAACATGCTCAGTGACAGTAAAATCTTGGCTAACTGACAGCTTCAGAAACTAAGAACTTATGTCCAAACATTTGACTCTGCCAAAGGAGAGTGTTGGTAGACAGGTTATGTTACCCAACCCTTTATAAGGGTATGAGTTGAAAAGCGCTTCAGGAAAACGGATGCTACAGTTAATATAAACCGTGACAAAACTGGTTGAACAGGCAGAACCGATTGTAATGGCTTTTATTCACCCAGCCTGAATGGGCAAATCTCTAGATCTAGATTTCAGAGTTAAACCTTTTTTTTTACTCCAAGTCTTTCTCTCAGTAAACATTTTGTTTTGAAGATTTGTTAGATATTCCCTAGTTTAAAATAAAAAAGCACAATAATTATAAATTGTGGTAACAACATAATAGTAGAATCAATTAAAAAGTGTAACTAAGAGCCCTCAATAACATGCATGTTATACAAGCTCCAAAATGACCCACCCATCCCTTTTGTTTGTCCATCCTATTTGAGCAGGATGTGCTACATTAGCATAGACGCAAACGCACTCCACCTTGAACCCAACCCCATTGTTTACATGTTTTCTTCTCACTGTGAGTAAGACATGTATTGGGAATGTGGTTCGCTAAACAAGTTAGATTTGTCCAGAAAGGAGTAAATGTGCCTGAAAAGTATGTATAATTGATTCCAGGGAATTTAGTTCAACGTTTGATGGTTTTCTTGTCCACAGGTGTCGCTGTGGACGGCCCAAACAAGACAACACAGGACCTCAACAACAACAGTATCTGTCTAATCAAGAAGAAGGGCAAGGTGAAGGCTCTGGATGAGGAGATCTACCGTGAGTTCATGTGTTTTTGAGCTTTTTTCTTGCAAATACATAATTACTGTGGTGAGAGAGAACAAGTTTTTGCATATTGGAAACAACTGACCCCTAAGCTCATCATCCTGGGTTTATTTTGATTTAATTTATTTCTTAACTTAAGATGCTGATTTTTATGTTGCATATTTTTTCAATTTTTTTTTTTTTTTGTGTGTAGAAAAAGACACGGTTGACCTGGACGAGACTCTGTCCACACACTTTGGCCTGGCCCACACGCGCTGGGCTACGCACGGAGAACCAAGTGCACTCAACAGCCATCCCCATCGCTCTGACAAGAACAATGGTAATAACTTCTTTCCTAACCTGACCAATAATCCCAGAAGTACAAGAGCTGAACTTCACACCCATCTGTTTCAAAACTAACTTGTTGCACGCCTCGCTTAAGTCTGGTTTAAGTCTGGTTTTACATTATGAATTTGTAAAGAGCCATTTTTATTTTGTTTGTTTTCTTTAAAGATTTGTCAGGCATGCCCCTTAGATTCTCTTTATGTTTGGGGTTTAAAGTCTGAAATAAAATACAAAGCTATGAACAATTTCAAAGCTTTGAACAAACTGTAACCTTGAAGGTGATCCTTCTTCATTCTTCAGGTGTTGAAATACTTTAGCAGCACACTTTTAATTAGCTGCTTACTGCATGCATTTAACCCAAATTCTTGTTCTTAAAACTAAGCCAGTTAAACTTGCTTTGCCAAACACAGAACTTGTACTTCATACAAGGTGTGTCACGTTCTCTTTATAAACTAGTTTCTGTTTCTTGCATTCCACAAGCGACAAAAAATTAAAAGCCTCAAACTATTTGCCTCTGGCTTGTTTTTTTTAGAGTTTGTCGTCATCCACAATGGCATCATAACCAACTACAAAGAGCTGAAGAAGTACCTGGTGAGTTGTCCTAATTATTTCTTTGCAGAAACAGGACTAAGCTATAACTAGACCCACCCTCCATGACAAAGGTCGCATTTCTCCCGGAGGCTTTATTATGCCAAAGAAAAGCTTTTTCTAATGATCTGTTTCAGTAATATATGAAGACGAAATAACCTGCTTACGTGTCGTATTCTCCTCACACTCGAGTTCTGGATGAACAACTATAACACCAGATCAGCTGTCATCCTTCTATAATAATCAGAACATTTCATGCTAAACTGATGATATTAGTTATGAAGTACGAGCAGTTAAACTTGTTTCATGTGGCTTGTAGGTTATATTGCTTTCCAAAAATATTCCAATCCCTTGAACTGGTTTACCTTATCTCATGTTAAAAACACAAAGTTTTTAAAGAAAGCCCATATTCTGATGTTCAGCTACCACAGTATACATGTCAGATTAAATAATACTACTTATACTTCAGCAATAGTATCAAGGTGTTACTCTACTGTATCTCTTATACTATATCCACTAAAACAACGTTGAACAAATTTCAATAAAATTTCCTGAAAAACACATTGTGTTTATACACACACATATATATGTATAAATGTAAAAGCCATTTTTTTTGTTTTCTTTAAAGAATGTAAGATATGTAAGATTTGTAGGTTAAAATACAGGATATTATATGATATATATGTATCTATATCTATATATATATAGATATAGATACATATATATCATATATATCCTGTTTTTTAACCTACAAATCTTACATTATTTTGTGTTGGTTTATCATAAAATTCACATGAGTTGATAAAGGTTTAAAGGGATAAATATGTCAGACACTCCTAGGTTAAACTTAGGCCCACTTATATTCAAATTAAAATGTTTAATTTTATAAAACAAACCTTTTTATTAGCACAAATTCCATTTCTTTTTGTGAATTTGGAGAAATGTATAAAGGTTAGTTATTTTCCTTTAAAATTAAATATAACCCTAGCTTATTTTGAGAAAAAAAAAAAAAAAATTATTGGCTCTTGACTAATTGGAAAAAAAAAAGTTTGCTAGGAAAAAGCAACCTGATTTTCAGGTTCTGTTTGCCTGTTTTATGTATAAACCTTTTTTTTCCCCTTGTCCTCAGATCAACAAAGGATACGAGTTTGAGTCAGAAACAGACACAGAGGTGATCCCCAAACTAATCAAATACCTTTATGACAATCGAGAGAACGACAGCATCACCTTCTCCAAGCTGGTGGAGAGAGTCATCCAACAACTGGTGAGCTGCTCACACAGCAAGACACAAACTCCCTCCACACCAGCATACACAGTAGGAGACATTCTGCTTTATTAGCTGTGGAAGCAGGAACCCTTACTGTAGCTGCCCTCTTCTACTGAAGTGATGGAAACTTTTAAGGACAGCTAGTTGCTGTGTGATTAACCTCGTCCTTGACCCACACATTTATAGAGCATTAAAAAAAGCATGTATTCTTTTAAAACTGCATGAAACAGCAATAAGGTTCCTTTTCAAATGAAACATTATTGTGTAAAACTGTCTCCATGGAAGCGGTCCCAACAGCGTCACACGTGACATCATTACTCACACAATCAGATGTTTTTTGGGTGAGATGAAGCAGACTTTTTTTTTTCCATCGGTTGAGTAATGTTTAAAAGCCTTTTTTCACGCTGCAGAGGAAGCTCAAGTAAAACGTGCATTTTTTGACTTGGAGTAATGGAAACCAGATAGTCCAGCTCCTAGACTAGTGACTCCCTTCTTTTACTTTCTGACTCTCTGCTATACGCACTCACACCCCCTCTTCTCCCCACCACACTCTCACACTCAGCCAGCTCTGTTTCCAGTAAGCGCCACAAGCAGCTGTGCGGCCAGCACTTTCGAAACATAGCCGATGTTATACAATACAGCTCCTATTCCTTTTAGTCTCTCCCTTCATAACCCAAATATTCCCAGGCCTCCCTAACCCACTACATCATTTAACCACCAAAGAAAACTAATCAATATAACCTTTATTTAAAAAAATAACATTAGGATGCTGCAAAAAATAAATAGTTGAGTTACGATTGAAGATTTGACAAATTTCTTTTTTCTTTTTTAAAACGTGCACAACAAGATGATTGTTTTTAGTCAAAGTTTGAAAAAAAAAAGTTTTTAAACATCTGAGATTTTAGAGATTTTCCTCCTTATAGAAAGTTTTAATCATCAGCATGAATATGGAAATAAAATGCAGCAATTTGTACTCTTAAGTGAGAGAAAAGGTTTAGATATTAAATAAACATGGCCCTAAGACAGAACCTTGAGGATCCCCACATAGGAACTGTATATATTTTTAAAAAACAACAACAATGTTTTTTTTTTTCTTATATATTTCAAAGAGTGGCACCTGTAATTACCTTTTCATAATACACAGTCACACAGTCATTTTATGATTTTTCAGGAAGTTATAACAACCTTTGTCTCTATGTGTTTTTTAGGAGGGTGCCTTCGCTCTGGTGTTCAAAAGCCGTCATTACCCTGGAGAGGCTGTGTCCACCAGGTTAGTCAGCATTCAGTGACGTGTCCAAAATCTCATTTCCATTATGCTTCAAATATCAGCTATCTGCCCCATTACACAGGATCAGATCAGATAAGTCATAACTGTTATTAACACGATGAAGCAATCTCCAGACTGATTAGCAGACAAATCTATTAATTATAGCATGACTGTGGAAGGCTCTTTTCCTTCCAGTAATGGGCAGCTGTGGTCATGTGAGTAAATTCCCGTGCTATGGTGTGAGTTAGTGCATTCTGCATTTTAAGACCAAAGGTTTGATTCAGACTGCCTGCCTCCCTCGTGGGCCTCCTCCCTGTGGAGGCTGTGGGGCCAACGCCCCCCTTTCTGACTCATTAACAGAAAGACTACAGCGTTTCCTCCTTCAGCTTTGGCAAAGACTCGTGCTAGAGTAAAAAAACAAGACTATATTAATTAATTCTTCAATTTTATTTTGCGCAATGTATTTCCTGGGTCAATGATCAGGGCAAAAGAAAGAGCTACACGGAAAGACTTGCAAGAAGATAAATGGAGGTAGGTTGGGTCGAAGCTGTGGTTTATGCAAACAGCTGAGCTTGCTGGCTCACCTGCTGGATAAACCAAAATCTTTCTGAAATAAGTTCGTTTAGCCTGCAGAAGGAGAGAAGGGAAGGAATGATGTGTTATAAAGAATCAGCCACCGCCTTCCTCTCTCTGACCAACCATCACTGTCTTTGTCATCTATTTAAATTACGTCTAGATTCACTTTTTTATTCTTTCCAGCTGACATTTGAAATGAATACAATAAAACGTGCAGAGGCTGTTGAGAACATGATGTATGTGCAGTTTGTAATCTTCAACCTGCAAACAATTTGTCTCCTAACCGCATGTTTCTGTTTAAAAGCCTCTCTTGTCAAACCCCACACCCTTTGGAAAGATCAAAGTTTGTGTGTCAATGTGGCCCAAGGGGAGAACTGTACACAGCATAGGCTGATCTGTATGAAAGAAAGACAAAGAGGAAGGAGAGGCTGCAGATGTTAAACTGGCATGTAAATCACTGTTTCACAGTCAGACTGTTTTAAGGCTACAGTAAATGTAGATAAACTGTGTTGGTACCTGATGCTAGAAGTGATGTCTTGAGTCCAAAAGAGAATCAAATAATGTTTTATGAACTTTTAAAGTGAACTGAGGTTTATAATAGATGGTTATTTACTCTAAAACTCACCATTATTTACATTGGTATCTGAAGCAGGATCTAATGTGCCAGCAGGAGATTTCCTGGAAGATACGCATGTTAAAAACTCCAGGAAGCTTTTACTTCTGAAATGTTTCAGACAATTCTTTGGATTAGTTGATATGATAAAATGGGAGAAATTATATCTGTCAAGTTCATAACTGCATTTCTTTTTGGTACAAATTATTTAATGAAAAAGTAAACCTGATCAGTATGATTCTATAACAGAGTGTCTTATTATAGTTTTCATTGTTTTATGTCTAAAAAGCCAAACCATTCTTCGTAAAGCACATCTTTTTGACTCCCTCTCTTCCGCTCTGCCTGCTTTCTCCTTCTCTCGGCAGGAGAGGAAGTCCGCTGCTCATTGGAGTGCGAAGCGAACACGAGCCGCCAGCCGAGCACATCGCTGTGCAGTACAACAGTGGTGAGCTCTGTTCCTGTTTTTTTGCCACTGCCGTCCTCCTCCGTTGCATCCTCAGTTCCATGAAAGAGCTGGAGCTTAAAGTCATCACCTGATTTAACAGTTATAAATATAACATATGGCAACAAATCAACAAAGGTGCAATTCTGACTCAGATTACTGCAATTTAATCGGAAATTTCTGAATTTTAAATCAGTTTCATTTGTAAATATTCTCTTTCACTCAAAGAAAAGACAAAATATTGATTTTAAATAGATCAAAATTAAAATAGGAAATTATACCATTATTGTAAAACTGAATTTCAACATTTTTCATTCATTTATTTATATTTAATGACTTACTAATCCTTTTTAATACATTCAATCATCAAAGCGGGTCAAAACAGTAAAATCTTAATGTACTTAATGTAAACTACGATAAACTTAACAATAGAATAGAAGATAATAGAATTGCTATTTTTTTGTCCGTCAGTAAAAAGCTCACAATATCTAAACAGCAAAGTTGCTGACAGAAAAAAAATAAAGTACACATGTTAGGAGGAAAAAAATACAAGTTATAGATATGAGATGAATAAAATAAAATTCTGTATTCTGTTGAAATTGTGTTTTCCCATTTCTGTGAGTCCTAAAATAATATAAATTTTGTTATGTGAAAACAATACAAATACTTTGTTAATGTACGCAACCTTGTTAAGTTAATATTGTAACATTAATAGATATTGCACACAGGCTTCATAGTTATTTGCTCTCTTTTAGACTGTGTAATCAACATTACATCAGTTTGAGCAATATTTATATTACAAAGGACTGACTGTAGTGCAATAATTGTTAGGTTATTCTGCTAATGTCATATTTAATGGTACTAAATCGGATGCGTATTTGATTGCTTTTAAGGCGTCTGTGGCCTGAGCAGGGATGTAGAGTTTTAAGTCATTGCCAGAACTCAGGCTGCACAACCGCACAGACATCTCTGCAGCAGCAGTTCACTTACCTTCCTTGTTGTGGTCATGATACTGTCAGCCTCCATGCTTCAGAGCTTGCCTGAGAAACTGGCATTCAGTATTAGATTTTAATTTGTTTCAACAAAAATTTATTAAACACATTAATGAAATCGAATAACTTAACTTGATCTCATACACAAGAACTTAAGCAGCTATCTCTGGACTGTTTTCCTATTTTTCTGGGTTTTTCCGTTGCAGCCAAACATAACAAACTCACACAGTCTGCCAAAAGGCCTTGTGTTGATGTATCATGGGATGTTTTTGTTCACTGGTAATTATTGCACAATGGCATTGTATCACAGAATCTTTCTAGAAAGATTTTCTCTCTTAACTGTTAAACATGTCTGTGTAGTCTGTTCCATCTTTAATAATCAAGTTCAGCTTAAAGAAAGCATATTTCCTTTAGATCCAATTAAGGAATTCTGTAATAACCCAGAATAAAAATACCACCTTAACTTAATTATCTGTTTTTTTCTAAACTGAAAAGTGTCCAAATTTAATTGATTGGTAAATAAACATATTAATCTATATGAGATTTACACAAATATTAGGTCTAATATCTACTATAAGGTTTTGGTTAGTTTGATTGATAACGCTAAGGAAAAATATATAACTGTATATTTAAGTAAATTTGCTCATTGTTCAGAATATTATACATTTTTTAGTCCACTTATTCAGGAGCAGAAGTACACCTAGTTTATGATAGCTGGTTAATTTGTTGTCATGTCTGCTCAAAAAACAAGCAATCAACAAAGAAAAACACATGATGATTGTAGATTTCTAGCTGTAGTCTAAAAGCTGATTCACGATAATGTTTTTTTAAATTGTGATTAGAGATGTAAAGACAGCCTCATTTGTCTTGTAGGCATAGGCAAAGTGGGATCTTTATTTCAGCCAGGGGAGGGACAATTCTGTCTGCTCCTCTCAGCCACAGAAAACTCAAGTTAATTCAAAGTTTCCCGAATCATTTAACCTAAAAATTAGAAGTTAAAACGATTTTAAACTTGTAGTGATGATAGGATGGGAATGATGGAAGATTTAACTTGGTTTTGAGACTATAACGTTGAAACTTTACTCGATCATTTTAATTGGCCCCTGCCTATTCTGAACCCGTTTAATGGTCTGCATATGTGGAAAATGTTTACAACAGTCTGCCTGCCCCATTGTTTGTTTAACTTCTCTTTTACTAAAAAATAAAATTCTTCACTATCTTATCAGCAGTATATGAATTTATTAATGGTCCATATAACACAGGTGCAAAGTCAAAAGCAGCACCATTATCGTTATAAGCAAATTATATAATTCTGGTTAACTGTTTTGTAAGTGTACTTAAAAATAATTCATTAAATAAAATAGTTATAATCTACTTATGGGGAGGACAGGTTGTGTTTCTTTGGGTGGAGATGATGACTAAAAATAGAAAGATGAGACGGAGGCAGCCTTTTACTAAAAAGATCTCTGATTATATGGAATCTAGTACGCTGAAGTGGTTCAGTTCATCGTTCAGAGGCGAGCCTTGCCGTATTGGGGCCCCGGGCAAGCTTTTGTAAAGGAACCCTCCTTTACGTCTCCCCTTTGATGTCTAAGTCTCCCTGATCGGGAACCAGATATTAAAGCAACATTTTACTATGATGCATCATAGCCAATGAATTTAAAAAAAAATTTGCCTCCAGCATCTTGTAAAGAATTTGCATATTTGTCCAGAGCGAGTTTTCACTTAGTGGCCTCGCCCTCGGTGTGTTCAGTTCTAGATGTAGGTTGTGCTTAAGGCTAAATCCCTAAATGAGGTATGAGCACATAAAAAGCATGAAGATGAAACCGCCTTAAGCAGACAAAGCTGTAATAGGCGTGCAAATATTCACCCCATGCCACAAGGTGGCATTCATGGGTAAGGAATGTAGAGAAGGAAAAGAACAAGTAAGATGTGAACAATAAACGCATAGAGAAAAAAAGGCGTTGTTTTTTTTTTCTTTTCATTTGAACTTACAAAAGATGTTTTTAAACTCAGAGAAACCAAGAAGCAGGATTTTTTTCCTTTATTTTACCCGAGTGTTATATTTATTTACCTTTATTAACGATTAGAGCTTTAGAAACATATTAATAACATTAATTCTAGAAATATGTTCCTTCTCTCATGAATCTGTTCTGTTATACTGCAACCTACTTTTTTTCAGTTTTCCCATCATAAATAATTAATAAAACATGTTACAGCACATTAAGTCCTCCATTAAGTACCGATAATTTGGCTTCACTGAGTTTTTAGTATTAAACACTTAATTTGTCGGATTAAAATTATAGCACAATGTCTCATCCTGGAACTTATATTGGACCCTCATCTTTTTATGGTATCAGTGATAATATTTAATTAATAACTTTATTTAAAATGGTATGTAGGTTTTACTACAGTAAAACTTTGTGGATGGCCCAGTGTCCCCCTGTGGCAGCCCTGTTTGAGACTCTTAGTGTTATTTTTCATGAGAAAATTGAGGTGGTCTGACCGCCCAGGCCAGAACAGCTGCCCTGGCCACTAAACGATGGGCAAAAAGTGTGGGAATGATGTTGAGCAATCACTCGCTCATTTAAAGTGAAAAGAAAATTAGTTTTAATATCTTCCACTCCAAGGGGCTCAGTCTGAACTAGAACATCTCTGCCTTGTTGAAAATATGGCAAAAGTCTTTTCATAGCATGAAGCATCTGACTCAGCATCATACTGCATGTTTCTACAGTATCAGTCGGTGTAACTTAAACTAAAATGATCGGACATTAGCCAGACAATGCATCGTCTTTGAATAATAGAAGCATAAAAAGAAGGAGATAGTTTCTAGCCTTCTTGTCTGTTGGATTGTAGAAAAGGTGGTTTGGATATCCGATAATAATGTTTGTCATTTGCATTGAAACTGGACATTTAATCATATATATATATATATATATATATATATATATATATATATATATATATATATATATATATATATATATATTCTTCAATTTCTAAATGAAATTTGTTGACTTTAAACTTTAGGTCACTTAAGGGAGGAGGTTGAGGAGAAGAACAGCCACAACTCGTCCAACTCCAATGGAGAAGGCAAGGCAGTGGAGTACTATTTCGCCTCTGATGCCAGGTAAGGAAGTGATTCTTTTTTCAATTAAAGCCCTGTTATTCACCTTTAATCAGCCACATCTATTTAGCTTCTAGTGCTCTTTGTATTTATTTGCACCCTGCCTGTTTTTTTTTCTGCATTCACAGCGCCATCATTGAGCACACCAACAAGGTGTTGTACATGGAGGACGATGACATCGCAGTCGTCAAAGAAGGAGCACTCTCAATTCACAGGTTAAATCGGCAAGCTGGTGACGATCCAGTGAGAGCGATTCAGACGTTACAGATGGAGATGCAGCAGATCATGAAAGGTTGGAAAACTGTACAAGGGCTGTTTTTTTATATAGTTAACTGCTTTCATTTCAATGAAATTTAAAGCAGCTTCACTGGAGGGAAACATTATTAAATCAGTTCATTTATGTAGCTCCCTGCACTATTGAGCCACATCTAGAAAGTAGATATTTGCTCTGCCGCCCTCTGCTGGCTGAATAGGTGAAAGCTTTGCAATTAAACAATCCAGAATACACATCTAAATAAATGATGTCACATTTTTAAGATCTTTGCCTATACACTGACATATACTCTATTACATCGATTCTAGAGGAACCAATTTGCATGTCTAGATGCCTGATATTGTTATTTAGAATTGTGTCACATTACTTTTGGCAGTAGTGTATATATTTTCTTATGTTTTATCAAAATGTCTTCTTCCTCTTTGCAGGAAACTTTGAAGCCTTTATGCAGAAGGAGATCTTTGAGCAGCCAGAGTCAGTTGTTAACACCATGAGGGGCCGGATTTGTTTTGACACTAATAAAGGTGATTGCAGGTTTTCCTACTTTAAATCTCCGTTTTTTAATCATTGTATGCTATCTTAGCAGAATTACCATTTTATATCAGTTTGCAATATAGTGACTTTTTATTTTGTTTCCGTTGTTGTAGATATAGAAACTAAACTAAAAAGGTAGACTGGTTTATTAAATAAAACTCTTATCATTTATTTTTTAAGTGATTCTTGGAGGCCTGAAAGACCACCTGAAGGAGATCAAACGCTGCAGACGGTTAATCATGATTGGCTGCGGCACCAGTTTCCACGCTGCAGTTGCTGTAAGCAGAACCCTTTCACTTTAATAAAAAATATATATATATTTTAGAGTTCATGATAAATAATTCTTGAATTTAGAAATTTCCAGAGGCACAGGTTGTGACACTTTTTTCTTATTTCTTCTGCTCAGACCAGACAGATCCTGGAGGAGCTGACTGAATTACCTGTCATGGTGGAGCTGGCCAGTGACTTCCTAGACCGCAGTACCCCAGTCTTCAGGGACGATGTTTGTTTCTTCATCAGCCAGTCAGGTAACATAAATCCAGAAGCATCGGAGCACATGTTTTTTTTTTCTATCTATCTCTAAGGCTCCTGGGGCTAAAAACATCTTTAAATAACAACTTCTCACCTCTCACGTTAAAGTTGTCAACCTCCTCAGGCCAAGAGCTCCATTAAGCTTGACCTTATTGTGCTATAATTACACATTATAAGCATAAGGTTTCACTCTCTCCGGTCCTTTAGGGGAGACAGCAGACACCCTGATGGCCCTGCGATACTGCAAGGAACGCGGGGCTCTAACAGTGGGCATCACCAACACTGTGGGGAGCTCCATTTGCAGAGAGACTGACTGTGGGGTCCACATCAATGCTGGACCGGAGATAGGAGTGGCTAGTACCAAGGTATACACTTCACTGCATAACCAGTGTTGATTTCATCATTGCTTAAACAGTTGCACGTTTATGAACTTGTTTTTAGGTTTTATACAGAACAAAGGAGGTGATACTGGATGTTTATATTAGTGTGACATTAAATACGAGCAAAAACAGTATCAATCAGAGGTCTACACACAAAATTTAGCTCCAGGCTTTTAACTATTTACTCAACAATTTTTCTTAAAAAAGATAAGATTTTTCTAAATAAGAACTGGTACACATGGTTGATTTTGTCACAGTAAGACATTTTACATAGACTCCAAATGTTTGCTTACTTCCCCATTATTATCTGCCTAAATGTCCCTTTGTAAGTTATTCTTTTTCTAACCAAAAGCACCGTCCTGGCATAACTTTACCTTTATAGCACTGCTATCAAGTTAAAACAATATGTTTTACCTGAAAATGAAAAAAAATAAAAATAAATAAAAATTCTTTTAGATGTTCAGAAACCATCAATAAAAATTAAAATGGTCATAAACAGGAGTCTAGATGGTGGATATCTTACAATAACAATAACTGTCTCGTTACTGGCCAGGAAAAAAGCTGTTTATTTGATGCCTTGAAGCCCATGGCAAGTTTGCAGCTACCAAATTACAAAAGACCTAATGTCGCCTGGAGAAAAGTTTCATGGTCAGATTAGACAAAGATTGAGCTGTTTGGATAATTGACACGATCCATGTTTGGTAGAATTAATAATTTGCTTTTGATTCTAAGAACAAAGGACAACAATCAGCCATAGTGATGGCAGCATCATGCTGTGGGAACTAGACTATTGCTTCACCTCAAGCAACAATAAGATGCTGAAAACCTGCCTAAATTATATTATCCCAAACACAAATCAAAACTGTCGGAATAGATAAAGCAGACTATGGCTTGACCCCAACCTCAGCACTTAATATGAAATGCAAGGACTGGCCCCTGCACTGCACATAAGTAAATTACTCGATTTAGATTAACTTTACTGTTTTTCATTATAAAAACTAGACTCACTCACGCCAGAGTAAAACAAAGACCTTGACAATGGCAACGAAAAACATTTATCCAAATATCAGCAGGAGTGAATCTCTGTCTTAATCCATGCAAAGTCATTTTCACTTTGCATGGATTAAGACAGATCTATGATAAATCCCATCTTGTGCATCTAGTTCTCATTTTTCAACTCATTGAATACGAACTGTATTTTAAATGTAATTAATATCTGGGGGAAAAAAATCTTTAAAATTTGGAAATTATTATAACACTGAAGCACAAAATGAGCAAAAGCAAAGTTCTATCTAAGGCTGCAGATTATCTATTTAGTCAACTTCTCCAAGAAAAAGTCCTTACATCATAAGATAGATTTTATATTTAGAAACAAAAGCTTAATTCTCATATTTTAATAATATGTATTGTTCTTGTTTATATAGAAAGCAGTTATTTTTATGACATAGTTTAAAATAAAAAAAAACACTTTTGAATACTGAACCATTTGTGGTTTGATGCTGTTTATATGCACTAATCCTGACGGGGATTCACTGTGTGCTGCCCTTCTAGGCCTACACCAGTCAGTTTGTGTCCCTCATCATGTTCAGCCTGATGTTGAGTGAGGACAGACTCTCACTACAAGCGAGACGACTGTCCATCATTAACGCCCTGAAGGACCTACCAGGTCAGTAGTACCAAATAATAATAATAATAATAAAGTGTTCTTTATTTGTAGACGAGTGTTTTTAGCCACAGTGGGGGATATTGTAACACAACAGCTGTGTAAAAGTGGATCTTAAATCCATGAGATATCTGTCTGACCACAAGTCACTTTAAAATACTCTCACAGAGCTGATAAGAAAAGTGCTCTCATTGGACGACAAGATCAAGGCCATCGCCGATGAGCTGTATCAGCAGAGGTCACTTTTGGTGATGGGGCGAGGATACAACTATGCCACTTGCCTTGAGGGGGCGCTGGTGAGTTAAAACATTTTACAGTACTGAGCTTCTTAAAATAAAATCTCCCTAAAAAACATGAACAATATATGTATTAATTGCATGTATATTATTGTCTTATGATGCACCTTACAAGAAAAATGCAACAGATTAAATAATAAAGTAAATTAGTTTAAAGTCACATATTTATGCAATATCATAGGGATATATCAGTAAGTCTATACACCTTATTGTGTTGTAGAAAATCAAGGAGATCACCTACATGCACTCAGAAGGCATCCTGGCTGGAGAGCTGAAACACGGTCCTCTGGCGCTCATCGACAAGGACATGCCAGTCATCATGATCCTCATGCGGGACGGCTGCTACACTAAGTGTCAGAATGCTTTGCAGCAGGTCACAGCCAGATCGGTAGGCCATAAAAACAAACAAAAGTACACTTTTAATCGAAATTAGCCCATAATACACAATGTGAAAGGTGTGCAACCTCTTGGTTTCTCTCTCCAACAGGGCCGACCCATTATTCTGTGCTCTCAGGATGATTCAGAAGTGATCAAAAATGCATATAAGACCATTGAGTTGCCAGAAACAGTGGATTGTCTGCAGGGCATCCTCAGTGTCATCCCTCTACAGCTGCTGTCCTTCCACTTGGCCGTCCTTCGAGGATATGACGTAAGTTACATATTTTCTTATCCACTAAAACTTTGACATACATCAGATGTTTATTGAGACATTTGGAGTCAGATGTAAACGTTCTTGATTTATGTATGGACAATAAGGTCAATGGAGCGGGATTAAGTAAGCAAAACAAAAATCAAAAACTGGCTTTGCTACTACCTCATTCAACTCATCATGTAAACAACTCAAAAGACTGTGGAGTAGAGGGGAAAAAACATGGTTAGATTTTCAATAATTTTGTAATTAGCCCACTTTAGTTTGATACCCATAAATAAAATGCAGGGAAACCTATTCCTTTCAGAGGCACTTGTTTAGTATTAGTCCATCTATTTGGGTTAAAACCTAACAAGTAAAATAAGTGGTTTGAGTTAATTTAGGCTAATATAAAATTTCTTGTTCAACATTCAAAATGTTAATGCACAAGAATCCCACCCTGAACACACCACCCGCAAGTTCAAACACAGTGGTGGCAGCATCATGCTGGAGGGAGGCTTTACTTACACTCCAAAAGAGTTCAAATTGGGGCTAAGATTGTCTTTCCTGCACGGCAATTATCATAATGTACTGACAGAACTACGACGGAACTGTTTTGATTGAAGTGAATGCTAATGATTTAGATTAGCCTAGTCAAAGTTTAGACCTGAATCTGTGGAAAAGCTTTAAAATTTCTGTTCCCCGAAGCCCTCCATCCAGTCCGACAGATCATGATATTTTTTGTGAAGAATAAGCTAACTCAGATTCTAGATTAGCAAAGCTGGTAAACCAGAAAAAAAACTGCTGCTGTGTTTGCACTAGTATGTACTAGTATTACCCTTGAGGTCAGGAAAACATGCAATATTTTCCAGATCCAATGTCCAGATTCTGTCAGTATGTGGTACAGCCATGGTGAAAGATCTCCTCTAATTCTCTGTATCCTCTGCTCTCATTTTATTTGCAGGTTGACTGCCCCAGAAACTTGGCCAAGTCTGTGACTGTGGAGTAGTTACAGTTTACAAAGCCCAGCAGACAAGACAGGTGGCTTTGGGTGACTTACAGAGCGACTGTGCAATCAAACATTGTGTGTGTGTGGCAGGGTCGGGTTGAGGTATGGGGACCGGGGAGCTTGTGTATGTGAGTGTGTGTATGATACTGTGAGTTAAAGAAGAGGCTGCGGAGTATAGAAGGGATTAAGCGGTACAATGAAATAAACACACACGGAAAAATTGAAATGTGAAATCTGACCGTGGCTTTTTGGAACAACTCATGAAACATTCTCGAAGATGCTCATAGCCAAAGATATCTTCTGTACCTCTTTTTATCAGTAGAGCCAAAAAGTTTTTTTTACATGAAGAACAGTAAAAAACTGAAATGGTACACTGAAGTGTTTACAATTGTGCAATATGGACCACATACTTGGCTAATGAATGTACATTGTGACAAAGTCATTAATTGTTCTCCTATGTTGAACGTTCGGTAGGGTCATTATACTCTTCATTGTAAAATTGTCATTTTGATATTTCTTTAGAAATTCTTGGTTTTACTGGCCTCGGAGAACAGTGAACTATAATCTTATTTTCTTAATAAAACTATTATATTTTAATTTAAACAGTCTGTTCTGAAGGTGTGCAACCAGGTTCTTTTTAAGGTTTACATACTTCTTACTGGCATAGGGAATACTCTGTGGTATTCAATGGAAGACTAATTATATATAATTTTTATGGGTTTCATAAATGACAATCTGTACATAACAGATGTTCTTTTTGCTTTTTTGTTATATTTATAGGGGAGAAACAGATAACTTGATTGATATCTTTATGTTTGTATTTTGTATTGTCTGTTTTTCATGCTAAAAAAGCACTACAAATCAATAAAGAAATGAAGTATTATTTTTAAACTGCTCAGTTGTATTTGCTTTTTTATTTTCTTCTAGTACTGATCACCATCTGATGGACAATTAATAGTTACCATTGAAATGGACCGATATCCTGCATCAAACTTGGCTTTTTAACCGAGCTCATACATGTTGAGCATATAATACTGGCTCAGAACTTTTTAAAAGCCGAACCTTTGCTTGCTATGAGTATTCACTAAATTATTTATATGTGTTTCGGGTTATTTTCTTACTATAAAATCCAACTGTATCGAAGTTTAAGCCATTTGCTCCAACCTGTTATTCTTTGATGGAAGGTTATGTTCAGAAAGAACTCAAGAACCACCAGCCTAAGTTTAGCATACCTAGAAAAAGGCTGAAATACCAGTGTCCCTGCCTTACAGGTTTAAAGTACCGTAGCCTCAAAAGCTTTCAGTTTTTAATTCATATCCACATTGAACACTTTGAAATACCCAGGAAAATTTATAGTCACCAATTGATAAATAGTTAATTTGAGTCTTTGCCAAGCAGTTTAAATTTACCCTACGATTGTAGCGACTTTGATCCACCAACAGAGCCGCTGCTGGCTGTTTTTTTAACTGTGATGCATCTTCAAGAAGCCACCAGGAGCCCCCACTTGTGTTTTCGTTCTTATTTGTTGTCCAGTTAGAAAAT